CTTCTGGCCACCATGGGAACCAGGCACCCACATATCACACATATAAACACTCACACATAAATAAATAAATACATACATTCATAAATGATCTTTTATTTAAAAAAAAAAAAAGAGTAGGGAAAGCAAGACAGAGAAGAGAAGAAGGAGAGAAACAGCTTACTATCCATCCAGGCCCTGTATCTATCGAAGGAAACAGTCTAAAGCAGATTCTCGGGTTCCTCTGGGAACTCACTCTGGTATTTTTCCCAGTTCTCCACAAGGATGCAAGTTTAATAACAAGAACTCCTCTCTCTTCCTGCTAACCTCTGGCCCTCAAATATGAGGCCCAAGAAAGCCCTGAAAAATCACCTGTTGAACCAATGACCAAACAAAGTCCCCAAAGAATAAGACAAAGTCTATGGCCAAGCAGATAGAAACAAAGTCACAAGAGGACTTGAACAACAATACTCCTAAATTACAACAGATTAACAACAACACTGCAGCTCAAATTTCTCATATTTACAATGAGTAATCTCAAACAGCAGTTGGTTATAAATACAATGGAATGATAAGACATAGGGAAAATGCTAACTCCTAAGTAGGAGTCAGAGAGGCCAAGAAGTTGGTCAGAGATGGTATGTTATACACGGGAACCCATGAAATGACCCATGCGTGGACACCATTGAATCAAAAGTGAAAACTAGCCAGGAGAAAAAGTCAAACCATCCTTGTGGTGGTTAGAACAAGAATGGCCCCCATAGACTCCTATATTTGAATGTCTGGTCACCAGGGAGTGGGACTGTTTGAAAGGGTAGGAAAAACTAGGAGGCGTGACCATGCTGAGAGTAGGTGTACTTTGATGGAGGAAGGTTGCTACTAGGGGTGGGCTTGATGGTTTCAAAAGGCTCAAAATTGCTCTGTCTCTGTCTCTTTCTCTGTCCCATATAGCTATCTCTCTTTGTCTCTGTCTCCCAGTCTCTCAGCTTGTGAATCAGGATATAGCTCAAAGGCCATGGCACTGTTAGGAGGTGTGACTTTGTTGAAGTAGGTAAGTGCATTTTGCATTATGATATGGTTACAAGCTTACAGGGGCCAGGGAGTAGAATGTAGTAGCTTGAACATAACTGGCTCCCTTAAGTTTGTAGGGAATGACACTATTAGGAAGTATGGCTTTAATGGGATAGGTATGGTCTTGTTGGAGGAAGTGTGTCACTGTAGAGGTGGGTTTTGAGGTCTCATATATAATCAAGATACTGCCCAGTGTTTCAATCCTCTTTCTGTTGCCTGCAAGGTAACTCTCAGCTACCTCTCCAGCACCATGTCTGCCTGAATGTTGCCATGTTCCACCATGATGATACTGGACTGAACCTCTAAAACTGTAAGATGCTACCTCATTTAAATGTTTTCCTTTATAACAGTTGCCATGGTCATAGTATCTCTTTACAGTAAAAGAAACCCTAACTAAGACAGCTTCTGAAACTGCAAAAAAGCTCCCCAAATAAATGCTTCCTTTCAAAAGAGTTGCCTTGGTCATGGTGTCTCTTCACAGCAATAGAATAGTAACTAAGACAATTCTCAAACTGTCTCTACCTCAGCCTAGATTTCAACAGATGTGCTGCTAACTTTTCTACCTTCAGGGGTCATAAGAACAAATCGTTTCAAAAGAAAAAAAAAAAAAAAGAACCAGAAGAACCAGAACCTGAACTCATCCAGACAACTTTTACTATACAATGTCAACCAAAGTTACCTGACACGGCAGCACAAAAGACCAGAGGGTAAGAGCCAAGGGGAAAAACAAAAAACAAAACAGAAAAGATACACAGAATAAGCAGATACTTGAGTTTGCTGATACAGAAATAAATGCACTGAGTAAATTTAACACACACACACCTGGAACTTTGAAACCTTGCAATGTAGAGCCAATGAGATGGCTCAACAGGTAAAGTCAAGTTTCACCAAGCATGAGGAACTGAATGCCATCCCCAGAATTCACAATGTAAGGAGAAAGCTGACTCTTCAAAATTGACTTCTAAACCACATACATGTCATTTCAAATGTGCACACACGCACAGAGAGAGAGAGAGAGAGAAAGAGAGAGAGAGAATGTGCACATTCATGATTCATGCACTCAGTCCTCAGCACCCATATCAGGCAGCTCACAACCACATGGATCTCCAGCTCTAGGGAGAACCCAATGCCTCTGGCCTCATCCAGCATCTTCACATATTTGCACATAATTAAAATAATTTTCAAAAGCTAGAGAGGTGGCTCAGAAGTTAGGAACATGTAGTGTTCTTTCTGAGGACCTAAGCTACCACACCAGGCAACTTATAAGAAGTTTCATTCCACTTTCAGGAAATACGGATACTCTTTTCTGGCTTCTGTGAGTACTATGTGCACATAATATGCATAAGCTCGCACTGGAAGATGGACATCAAAGAAACTCATTATGAAGTTTATTTCCAATATGGCAAGACTAGCCATTTGGGCAAGAAACTGCTCTTGTCTGGACTGTCTGACTCTATGCTATAAAAAATGGACATACAGGACCCACAGGAAAGTGACTGCTGAAACAAGATGGACATTGCTGCAGGGTTTCTGCTTCATGGAAGAGTCTGACAGACATTCTGCAGGACACAGAGAAAAGTGACTGACAAACTGCCAATACAGGCAGGCAGTTTAAAAGTTTCCTGCTTTGCTGAGGAGCCTACCAGACACAATATGGCCTATGGGCCGAAAACAGAACATTACAGAACAACTTCAGGTAACCAAGCAGGGAATTGTCTCTGTCAATTCTGGGTTATATATAATATCCTTCTGTGGTCTTTGATGGAGTTGAAGACAGATAGTCATGGCTACAGTTTTCCTTAGTTATAATAAAAAATAAGTTACATGTAAAACTTTAGACTCACAAAAATATGACAGATAAAATACTTTCTTTAAATCTTGCTAAATATTATTGAATTAAATATTATAATTATAGTTCTTGCTTGATAACTGTTTTGTTATATATTTTACTATGTTAAAGTTAAAACTCTCCTTTTTATTTAGACAGAAAAGAGATGATGGAAGATGTAAATATGTTTCTCTTATTGGTTAATGAATAAAGTACTGTTGGCCAATAGGGAAGCAACATAGTTGGGACTAGGAGAAGTGGAGGATTCTGGGAAAGGTAGGACAGAGTCACGATGTGATCTCAGGAGAAGACTCATGAGTCTGGTGTTCTCAGTAAAATAAGACCATGCAGAAATACATATATTAGTAATTATGGGTTAATAATTAAGACAGAGCTAGCCAATAAGAAATGCCAGACATTGGCCGACAGCTTCATAATTAAAAAACTAAAATAAAATAAAAATAAAAATTCCTACTCAAAAAAAAAAAGTGGAAATCTTGTCTAGAAAAAAAACAAATAAAAATGTAAATAAATGATATATGGTGCATGCCTGTAATATCAGCCTTTGGGGGGGAGATGAAAGAGGATCAGTAGTTCACAACTGGTCTTGGTTTCTTATAAAGTGCAGACTAGCCTGGACTACAGAAAACATCTCAAGAAAGCAAAACAAAACAAAAATCCAAGAACAGTTCACCTACATGGTTTAAATGCCTTTCCCCAATCAGTGAGTAAATAACAAAATTAATGGAGAAGTACAAACACTCTGAGGACAATGGAAATGAAGGGAGCCATGAGGAAAGCCCTGCTAGTTAGATAACCACAAGGTAAAGCCTGCAGCAATTACACCAACACAAAATATAGAGGATTCAACAGCAGCATCAACAATTCATCCACAGGTCTAAAATGATCCCAAACCAACACCTAAAAAGAATAATCTGAGAAATTAGGGAGCAAATACTTTCTGTGTATATGAGCTAGCTTAGACATAAAAATGCATACTTTTAAAGGTTCCAGTGCCACCAGGCACTAATAGCCTTTGCCTTTAATCTCAGCACTCAAGAGGCATAGACAGATGGATCACTGAGTTTGAGGCCAACTGGCCTACAGAGTGAGTTTCAGAACAGCCAGGGCTACACAGGGAAACCCTGTCTCCAATGCCACAATAGAGCAAACACTGATACTGCTAAAGTCAGCCTGTGATTTTATAAAGTCTTAAAAGAAAGCACTAAATAAATAATGTGCCTATTTAGATCAACTGTGAGAAGTCACCAACGAAAGTTTTCAAGTGACAAAAGCATGTGAAAGAAAATTATCAGTCTGATTTAAAAAAGGACATAGGAAAAGCCTGAGCCAAGATGACACCAGAGTGAAGTGAATGGTTGGCTACCTCCAAGGTCTTAGAACTTTTGCCAAAAAAAAAAAAAAAAAAAAAAAACCATAAAAAAGAACTATATCAAAATATTAATATATTAATATTCTAAGCTGGCAATGGTGGTATATGCCTTTAGATAGATCTCTGTGAGTTCAAGGCCAGCCTAGTCTATAAGAGCTAGTTCCAGGACAACTAGGACTACATAGAGAAACCCTCTCTCAAAAATAAAATAAAATAAAATGAAATAAAATTAATATTCTATGTTGTGAATTGGGTGAATTATGTTTGCTCTTCAATTATCTAACTTCCCAAATTATCACAAAAATAAGCCAGGTATGGTGGCATACTCCTTTATACACCTTTAATCCCTGCACTTGGAGGGGGGAGACAGGCAGATCTCTGTGAGTTCAAGGCCAGCTTGGTCTACACAGCTGGTTCCAAGCAAGCCAAAACTGCATAGAGGAAATCCTGCATCAAAAATCAAATAAACAAACAAATAAAGACGCCCTGTATAAAGTGTTAATATATAAGCAATAACACTTAATTTTTTTTTTTCATTTAGACCTTGCTTTGTGCTTACATTACCAAATTCTCTTATTCTCCAGCCACAGCCACCTCCTTCAGCATGAAAATTCAACATTTACCAGGAATCCCTCCAATCAGGAAGGGGATGAGAAAGTCTGAACTACTTCATGCCACGTCCCAATGAGAAAGAAAAGCAACCTTAGAGAAGGGTGTGGCTTAGAATCTTACCGTGAAACTGTTGTTGACATTTTTGGTGCTGGATTCTGCCACGCTGGCATCAGTCAGGTCTACCTCATCAAATATGATTGACTAGAGAGAGATACAAACAGAAGATCTCAGGCAAGCCAGGGCAGGTTTATTCCAAGCACTGGTTGTGCTACCCACCACTCTCCCTACCCACCCCTAAAAGCCCAGGTTCCTTGAAACCTCAACATCTGCCTGCCTCTTCCAAAGAGCATGGATCACAGGTGGCTTGTGACCTTCAATCCACAGAGTTCATCAATGTGTACCTTATAACAGCAATGCTGACATTTCTTTCTATACTTGTTTTTTGTAGCAATAATACAAGTGCTTCCCTTTTAAATGTGAGAGCCAGTCAGGGTGCAGAGTCAGAGGGTGTCTCTGGTTTTGATTTCTCCAGTGAGCACATTTAGGAGAAAAGTTCCAACTAAAATAAACACTGTAGGGGAAAGAGACAGGCCCTAATAGGAGGAACCCAGCCATAAGGAAATCAGGGAATAGAGCACAGGAATTTAGTCCTAGAGAGGCGCAGCCAGATCCAGGGATGCCTTGTGTTCCTCTCCTCTCCCCACTAAGGTCCAAGCCACAGCCCCCTCCCCTTGTTTACCTTACTGTTTCCTCTGTTCTGAGAAGTCTCTATCTGAAACCCCTGGAGAAAAGACTAGCAACTAAGAAAACCTTCCCCACCCCCACCAACAGGACAGAAATAACCATGGCTGTGGTCAGAACCCTTTCTACACATGTTGCCTTGTTCCATTTCTAATTTCAGCAAACTAACTCTCTAGGGATGTTTTGCAAAATGATTCCAGATCTTTCTTAGTGCCCAAGCCTCAGAACTGCCATCAACACTGAGACAAAAGCACAGGTGTTAGGACTGGCAGTCTGCAGTTTGAAGTCTGAGAGCACATGCACTGGACCAGAGCCGCAAAGGCCCAGCTGCTCCTCTGACAACACCTGCCTGGAGAGTCCAGCTTTGAGTCTTAACCCAGCCAGGAACTTACCACCCAGGGCCACCTGCTGGGAAGCTCAGGGCTAAAGACATGCGAATTTCTGTTCACACATTAAGATGCCCAATGGTCAGAGCAGTTCTTAGCCCTTAATAAGAGATCCATGAGCCTGTCAGTCTGAAAGGAAACTAAATGTAATATAGGTATTTCTGTAACCACTCTTCCATTTTTAGAGAAGGAGAAAAGTGAACAAAAATAACTTTTCAAGAAATAAAGCATGCCTAGTGACAAATAAACCCTGACACCTAGTATTACAAGGAGAGAAGATGGGACTGTAGTTCAGTGGTAGACTCTGCCTAGCTCATCTAAGGTCCTTGGTTCAATTCCAACAAGACCAAAATAAACAAAAACACAAACAACAAAACAAATAAAACAAAAAGCCCAGCTAGAAATAACTGATTTGTAAGTATTCATCCTGTGCTTGAGTGATCAGTCCCTACATGGTGGCTCCTGAGTTTGATTCTCTCACAGCGCCTTACCTTTGCAGTTTTAGCATAGTACAGTGTCCGTCCTCGAAGTTTAAAGTACCTCCTTTTGGATCGCTGGAATGAGTTGTTCTGCTTGGTCAGCATGCCCTCTTTGAGGATGGTCTGAAAGCACAGAGGCACACTGTGAGCTTGCATTTCTGAGGTGCCCATGGCCCTGAAACACCCTGTCATAACCGAGGAGTAACGTGTGCTTCTAAAGGCTATGCAGCCTACCAGAAGACCGGTTCTCACTCTCACAGACCTTGACCTCTATGCAGGCTAAGCTCTGTGCTGCAAGGCGGGGACAAGGGGCATACCATTTTCTCTAAGGGACTACAGAGTACCTGTGTTAGAGACCCAAGGTGTGTCCTAGCTATGCCCAGCAGATTAGCAAAAGGGAAACTGAGGTTCAAAGGACTTCAGGAAGTAGCAGCTAGGGACAACTGGGACACAGAACCAGCACATTCTCCAGCTTCAGCATTTGGTATTTTTCAGCTACTCTTGGCCCTGCCTTAATGTTCTCTGGCCTCCTGCCATTTCTCAGGATCCTGTTGCCAAAACTGTCCATGTCCATTGCTCTGGGTTTCAGTGTGGCTCCAGGCCTGTGTTCTGCTCAGCCCTCTGCATGATTCTGGGTCAATATAAGCATCTGACACTTATTCCCTCCCCCATGATGCTGATATATCCATTATACTATAGGAAATATTCCTTCCTCTCCAGAGAGCTTCCCCTGCTCAGTTAACAGCAAGTTAGAGCTATCCTTCATTTGCCCCATGTACTTGGCTCCTAGTGGACAACGAGTCCTATACTCCTCAAGAGATGGCCAGATGCCCTGAACCACTTAGTAACTAATACAATCAACACTAATAAGCAGGCAGGATACAGCTCAATATAGAATGTTTGTCTAGCATGCTCAAGGCCCTGGGTACCATCCCCAGAACTACAAAGAAAAGATAATAACAATAAATAGTATCCAGGAGAACACATTCAGCACTTTTCTTATACTACAGCAAACAGCTCAGCAACCCCATGTAGGTTTGCTCTTTAAGCAATTTTTAAAACAGTATATGTGCCATGCGGTGGGGGTACACGCCTTTAATCTCAGCACTCAGGAAGCTGAGTTCAAGGTCAGCCCGATCTACAAAACTACACAGAGAAACCCTGTCTCAAAGGAAAAAAAAAACAAACAAAAGAACAGTATATGTATAATGCACCTAGACATTTTAGGATACTTAAAACTTCCTTATATAAAAACCAGAGTGAACAAGACGCAGAAACCTCAGGTCATGCAAACACACCAAAATACAAAGACAGCACATTTGTGTAACTATGCCTCCTCAAGTCTGTTTATCAGACATGAGGTAGAGGGACAGAGAATTAATAAACCAAGCCCCAGCTCCCTCACCCCCTAAATACAGAGCCAAGTTCAGGGCCCACAGCCCAGGAGCATACAGGCCATTACATGGTGCCTGAGATTTCCTCTTTTCCTCTTGAAACAAGCCATCTTCCTGAGGCTCCTTCTGGGCTGGGCAGGATACATGTGCCCACATTTACACACAGGTTCACTAGAATAGACTCTACTCTGGTACCTACCTGATACCTACATCAGCTGTCCCCTTAGACCAAACCAGAAGAAAAACTGCTGATGAGTAAGTTTCCTCATGTTCTAGTGGCTACTACCTTGACCTCTTACTTCTGAAGGAGTCACTCACCCTATCTCTCAGGCAGTTAAACAATACCAAGAGAAACATAACATGATGGCACAATCAAAAAAAAAAAAAACAAAAACAAAAAACCACACATCTAGCCAGTCACTCGCACAGAGGCCCTGTACTACATAACAGAGGACTACCAACAGGACCTAAGATCAGGACACAAAGCAATATGCAGTATGGAAAAGCTGTAACAAACTTTGATGCTGAGCACCCTTTACAGATCCAAGTTCACATAGATGGCACCCTTGTTAGATGCATCTGTACACAACACCAGTCCATGGATGCTTGGAGCACAAAGAGAAACCCTTTCCTGTGGACCTTAAAATGCTCATTTGTAGCAATATCTCCTCACCCCAATTCAGCTTCCTTACCTTTGAAGGGGAAGAAATTGCTTCCATTTCTTTCCTAAGTACAAATTTTAAAATAAAAATAAGGCAGCAAAACCAATATGCTGAACCCAAAAAAGTTTCAAATTATCTTTAAAGAACAGATATATTTTTTTCTAAATATGCTATTACATACAAAAGATGAAAAGCAAAATTAAAGTACAATCCCTGCCACCACCCATATACACAGACAAACACACACAGTCACATAAATATCTTTCAGAAAGTAGACCACAATCTGCAAGCTTGGGCTGCCCAAAGAGACCTGCTGTTCTATTTATAGGACAAGCATGCTCAGAAGGAGACCCTGGTGGGTTGCAGCGGAAAACGATAAAGATAAAAAAAAAAAAAAAAAAAAAAAAACAGTATTTCTTTGAAGCTTCCTCAGTAACTACATTTTGTCTCCTGATGTGTGCTCCTGAGTACTACAGATATGCTACCGGTTATTTTTAAGCACTCAGTCCAAAACAGTTAACTTTAAAAGTGGTCAAGAAAACTGAACCCTGAAACTACATGCTGGGTTTTGCAATGGAAGGCTACAGGAGACACTGAAGGAAATGCTACTGGTCTGGCAGACCCTGCCCACCACAGAGCCAGTGAGAATCAGGACAGCCACAGAGAGGGTCCTGGCACATGTGAGGATACATTCTCTTTCCTGCCTCCCTTCTTCAAACACAGACACAAAGCAAAGAGTTATACGAAGCGGTGTGAGGACATAGGGCACAGTAGTGTGAGCAATGTCCCTCTGCAGACAGGTCTGAGGAGGTCAGAGGACATGGAGCTGAAATACCCATGGTTGTTCCTTAATGGATAGACAGAGCCCAATAGGAGCTTGACCATTGTCATATAGGTCACATGGCCCCACATTAGGAAGTAGAGACTCTGAAACATTTAAAAATATTAGACAAGGCGCTAGAGAGAGGCTCAGAACTTACGAGCAGTGCTGCTGGTCTTGGAGAGGACAAGAGTTCAGTTCTCAGTACACACATCAGGCAGCTTACAACTACCTGGAAGATCTGATGCCTCTTGCCTCCACCGACTCCTCACTCACATGCACATATCCACACACACATATACATAATTAAAAGTAAAAAAAAAAAAATATGGATCAGGCAAGGGAAGAATGGAAGAGAAGTTACTAGAGATAATGTCCAGTCAATAAAGTGCTGGACCCAAGTTCAATTCACAGAGCCTATAAAGACAAAACTGACTTTTTTTTTTTTTTTTTTTTTTTTTTTGGTAATCACATTTTTGGCGTGATTACAAAGTCACAAATCTTGCAATCACATTTGTAATCAAAACACAGGAAAGTAGAGATTAGTGGATCACCAGGGCTCAGCCAAATTAGCCTAATCTGTGGATACACAGCACCCCACCCCCTACCCTGACATCCTAATGAGACCCAGTATCAAAAAACAAGGTGGGATGCCTGAAGCACAATATTCAAGGTTGCCCCTGGTTCCCACATACTAACTACACATACCCCTACGCAAACATGCACATCCACAATGTCCCAATTTAGATTAAGTGGGTACAGGTTACTCCCTCCTCTGCTCCAACACCATAAGCAAATTCATGTGCACTCTGCTTTATCTGTTCTCATCATAGTCTCATCGTCAAGACACTAAGGAGATGTACAACTAGGGACACACAATGCTCTACACTGAGTGTCTCACAGCAAGACAGTGTAGACAAAAGCACACAAAGGCACCCACCATCCTTGAGAATTCTCAACTCCACAGAGCCAGGACCCACATCTGGCACTGTCAATGTAATAAAGGGAACACTACATGGATGTTTCTTTTCTTCCTAAAGACCTCTAAATTACCAGCTTGGAGAAAGTGTCAACAGCTTTATTTTCTTACTAAAGAGAACCAATTTCAATCACCCTGGTTTCTCTCCAACAGCACCAATATCAAAAATATCCTCAAACACCCCCCCCCCCCGCATTATAGAAGTATGCACTAAGAACGGGGGAGATGCCTCATTCCTGTCTTCACTAATGTGAGGAAGGACTGAGCCAGAAAAGAACCACAAGAGGTTACACCCAAATCCCCAAGAGCTGTTCTAAAGCCTGTTCACCTGGAGTTCACAGCAAATACCCACCAGCACAGCCAAGCAGATTCTCTCCTGGCACTTTTAACAAGATCCTATGGCACAGTGATGTTACAAGGGACGTCACCACAATGCTCACTTCCTTGATCCTAGTCAAAGACACAGATCTGGCATAGGAAGATGACTGACTGGGTTGTCTCTGGCATAAGGGAATACAAGTAGCTTCAACACTCCCTCATTTCTGACTTGAACAGAGACATAATGCTTAGTTCTTTTGCAGTCACACCAAGACCCTGAAATAAATGAGCAATCAGACGCATTTCTGTCATATAAAGGTTACTGTCTACTCTACCTAGTACTGAATGCTGGTGTTCAAACAGTTCAAGCTGCAACACATGAAATATACTTCATCTCAAGCAATTCTATTCACTGACCTATGCCATGTCACTCCCTCTTACCCTTGCATTTCCTGTGTCTACTATCAATGGCATCAACACTAAAAGAAGTATCAGAGCCAGTGAGATAGTTCAGCAGATGAAGGCCCTTGCTGCCAAGCCTGAAAACCTGAGTTCAATCTCTAAGACTAACATGGTGGAAGAAGAGAACTGAGTCCCACAAGTTGTCCTCTGACCACATGTATGCTGTGGCACATCACCCACCCTCCATAGCAAACACACACTCATGTACACAAATAAATGTTAACAGTTTTCAATTTTTTTAAATAAAAGAAATAGCCCCATTTTTAAGTGGCTACCAAGTACCACTGATTCTGTCCCTCTTCCTGAGTTCAGATGGCCAGTTAGAGCTTAAATTTTGATCAATCTCAATCAATCCCCCTCCCCTCCCACTCTCTCTTCCTTCCTTCTTTTTGTCTTGTTTTTTGAAGTATGAATCTATATAACTCAGATTGGCCTCAAATCACTATGTAACTGAAGCTGTTGCCTTGAACTCCCAATCCTGTTGCCTC